TGACTGATGACCACAGAGATACTCAAGCATCATCTGCAGTGCCATTGAGTCCACAGTTTTGCATTTAGAGTACAGACTTGTAGCACACAAAGTTTAACATATAGTTTACATGTAACTGGAAGAAGAAAAGAAGAACTCTTTGGAACCTAGTAATCAAGTGATCGGTTTAGAAAACCAAAAGTGAAAAAGTCAAGTGGTCACCAAATATTTTCATGTATGTGCTCTTGTAGAAAATATGTAGAAAGAGTATCTAGGTGATTGATGCATTTTATTAAAATTTTGTATTAGTGGGAAAAGTAACACATGTAGTAGAGCAGAAAGAGTGGCTCTAGCTGAGTGTTGTGCCTATAATCCCAGCAGTACTTAGGTGGCTGAGGCAGAAGGATCTCTGCAAGTTCAAGGCCAACCTGGGCTACATAGTAAATTCAGCACTACAAAGCAAGACCTTCTCTTAAACCGTGCCCCCAAATCAGTTCTACTATGACCTTGGGTAGGTTATTTTATGTCTCAGCCTGTATTTTCTTTATTTCTAAAAATCATGGGGTTGGCCTCAATAATTTTTTCCAGCTCAGGAATTACTGGATTCTGTTAAAAATAGTCTTGTTTATGCCCTAAACATAGTATTTCTTATTTCTAAAGGATGAAGATGGTTTTAATCTCATAACACCTCATTATATATGGAGAAATTGCACGAGGTATTTAATGTCAGCCTCGTTTATTCCATAGTTCATTCTTCTAAAGGATGACTATGATACTATTTGTACGAAAAGAAGTGACTACAGAGATACAATAAAATAGAAAGATGAGTACTTAGCAAGTGAATTAAGTCCTTTTATAGCTTCTTTTCTTTGCTTAAAAGATAACTGCTGTAGCACTGTCATTCTACTTTGTCTATGTGGCCTGGCTGCAATGCCTGATGTGACAGAGGGCTGTAAGCTTTTTACAGCAGTAGGAGCCCTTCCTCTCGTATGTCATTTAATCTTCAGTTTTCACTACACCCTTTGGAAGTAGCCTAGTAGAGCAATGGTTCTCACAATGTGGTCCCTAGCTAGGTAGCATCAGCATCGCCTGCAAAATGAGTTGAAATGTAAATTCATGTGTAGTGCCGCGGACCTACCAAATCAGAATTACTGTGTGCAGTAGTTACTCTGCCCAGTATTTCGTATTTCACTAAGACTTTAAAATTATTCTGATGCACACTGAAATTTCATAACATCTAGCATAGCATTTGAAATCTAGTTCTGCTTCTCACTTTGTGAACTTAAATCATTTAATCTCCCTGGGAATCAGTTTCTTGATCTATAAACTAGGTGGCTGTAAGAAAAAGAACATCAGAAAGTTCTGTTGGCTCTGATTCCAAAATGCATATGCAAACAGTGCCGCTGGTGTAGTGATATCATGCAAGATTCCCAAAATGCATATGCAGTCTCTCTATTGCTTTTCCTCCACTGTGTGCTAGCCACCATCATCTCTTACCTAGATATAAGAGGTGGCTTCCAGACCAGATGTCCTGCTTTTGGTTTTGGTCCTCGGAAATGTATTCACCACAAAGCAACCAGACTGGACTTTTAAGACCATGATTCAGACTGAGTCACTGCCCTGTTTAAAATTCAATGGCTTCCCACGCACCCAGAATAAAACCTAAACTCCATTTGGCTTACAAGGTATTACATAGTCTGCCACCTTCCTATGTTTCAAATTTTTGTCTTGCTCACTATGATAAAGTTATACAATACTGACTTCCTTCTTGCACCTCAAACACGTTAAGTAGTTTATGCCTCAGGGTCTTTGCACTTCTTCTCTTCTGCCTGGAATGTATTTCCCCATGAAAGCCTACCTCATTTTTAGCCTTCAGGTTTCCGTTCGGAGAGCAATTCTCACACAAGGTTTCCTTGACTACTTTAGCTTATTGAAGCCTTTCCTTTGCTTCCTGTTATTTTCCATCATATCAACCTAAGTGTTTTCTTCATGACTCATGGCAAAATATGAAATTTTCTAGTTCATTTATTTCTTAGTAGTACACTGTTGGACAACTTTTACTAAAATATCAAGTCCCTGAATGCAAGGATTTGTCTTGTAGTCCTAGTCCCAGTTTACAGTGCCTGCTACATGTCAGGCAATGAAAAGGTATTTGTTGAACAAATGAATTTATTAAAGTCATTTTGTAAAATTTCTACTTATAGTAATAAGATTCAAAACATTCTACCTCTGAAAATAGATCTATTTTAAGGAAGTTTTTCATGTTGAAAAGTGACTAAAAACAGATTAAAACTAGAAGACACTGGCCACGTAGAGGTCATGGTACCCCTCCCCCTCAAAAAACCAAAGATAAAAAAAGGAAGATTGGGTAGGGTAAGATGTTCTGTCTGAACTCATTTCAGCTCTTCATGTACACCAAGCACAAGGAACACATGCTAACCTAAAGACAAGCTCTGTGGGAACACACTGACCAGGAATCAGGAACACGGGCTTCTGTTGTACTAGCACAGGGAAAACAAGAACAGTGAGATCATGTTAGTAAAGCTTTGAAAGAAGGCTAACTGATTTTCATGCACAGGAAGGGAAAAAAAAGTCATTTTTTGTCAACAAGCTAGTATATAAGTTACCACACTTGAGGTTGCTGCGATAGCGTTAATAAATGGTATGCAACAACTTGGAACAACAACAAAATAAGCAGGCTTCTAAGCTCAAACGTAAGGTTTCTAATCCATGAGCTAGAACACTTTACTGTTGAGAGAAATTATCTTGTCAACAAAGACAGGATGTTCATGGATAAGTGACTCGGGCCACTTTCTCCCTTTTGGGAAATCTACTCAGTAATTTTAATTATAATAATTTATTTAACCCGGAGATTTAGGCAGTTGGTTATTAGAAACACAGCATTGGGGAAACCCAGATGCAAAAATAAAAAAATGGGTGGTGGGAATTGACAGTCAAGCACTTATTTATAATTAAGCTCTCCTGTGACAATGAAAGCAATTAGACAATTTCTATGTCACTGATATCCTAGTTGAAGAAGAACAAAAGAAAAACCATAGATGCGATAGCCAAATGTTATGACAGTCAAAACTCTGAAAAATTTTCGTACACCAAGGAAGGCAAGTGAGGTAAAACTGAGTTATTTTCAGAAAGTAGGCCAATTTTATGCTGCCCCTCCTCCAGCAAGCGCATGGTGGTTGGTATCTCCATTTAAAAGGCAGACATCAGTCACACCTAACTTTCATATTTGGGTGGGATTCTAAGGAAAATGTATCTTTACATAACGCTGGAGGTGATTCTCCATCAAAATAAATGTAAATTATTGTATTTCCAAGTAAGAAACTTTTAACCACTAGAAAGCACTTATGTCAACCCTGGGTACAGGAAATTTTATCCCCTTTTTCCATACTGAAAACAGATATTTCACTTAAAAAGAAAACCATGAAAGTGAAAATGACTTCATTCAATTAGTTGAGCAACTCAAATAACATTTAGTAACAACCACCATGGAATTGCAAAGTCTGTTCAACTAAGAAGAGAGGGAAGATGGTGCCTAACGACCTAAGTAACTTCAGATTGTTTGTTGCCCACCTGACATAAGGAAATGATTACATTAGTGAGAAAAATGAACACTAGGCAGTTAAAAATACACAGTAATTGCACCTCACTGAATAAATTTGTAACTTTCATTCTTATGTTTTTCCAGACAGTTAACTGTGCTATCTTTTTTGCTTTTCAACTAATCAAATGTGATATCAACTACCATAATTTAAGAAAGAGCAAAGAACAAATACCAAGTTTATCATTTGGTATGCATAGGAAGATGAATGACTGAAGTGCAAACTTTATTCAAACAAAGTGCCTTTATTCAAACAACTGTTGCTCAGCTCGTTGTGGGAAGCATCTCCATAGCTCTGTACTCTATCCCACACCGCAGGAGCTGCCCCAAAGGAAAGTGAGTCCGAAATGCTGAGGATCATGTCTGGGAAGGTCACTGAAGGCTGGCTAACGCTGGAATCTCCCCCTAGTTAACAGTCAAGCTTGTGAAACACCTTGTATGATTACTGAACAGTATTTTTTGGCTACATTTAAAGAGCAGAATGTTTTGGAAGATGAATTGGTAAAACATGTAGATTTCTGGGGTATCAGTTATTTTAAGAAATGCGCTTTTACTGCAATTTGTCCCCACAGAACTACTCTCTCTCTCATCAATGTATACTCAGTGGTGTTTATTTAAACCATTCTTAAATAATTATCAATCTACAATATTTACTTTCTACACCCCAAAGAGATGAGATTCAGTCACATTCCAGTTTGGCAGAACTCCATTTTCTTTTGGAAAGCTTATCCAATGAAATCTTTTCCTGAACTCTCGATCAGTATCCTAACAGGTTTTCCAAAGTACGCTCAAAAATGACCACGTGCTAGAGGTTTTATATTTATATTATGTTTGGAGCAGTGCCGATGATTTATCAGAATAGGAGCAGCTGTACATAAAAAGTCTTTGGGCTGAGAGAGATTTGTCATGGTCTCCTCTGAGAAGAACTAAATTTGGACGGCATGTGCATTTTGAAATGTTCATGGTACCACATTAAATTGCTACCAAATAGGAGCAATTACAAAGGATTAACATAAGCCTCAAATCAAAATTTGAATGAAGCATAAAACTTTTTAAAAAATAAGACAGAAACAGGAATAACTGTTTCCTGTGTCAGGTTTACAGCTTGACGGGAAGAGGGAAAACAGGCTCCTCTGGAGGTGCGTTCACACTAACACACATCGCCCAAACACTTCAGCCTGATTCCTTCCTCTGTGCCACCAACATCCTCGCCCCCGACCCTCGCTTTCCACACCCAGAATGATCCAGGCAGCGCTAATTATGAAGCAAACCAACAGCTTTACACAGTTGGACTCCACACAACCCCTACGAAAACAAGCGGACTCTACACTTCTCAGTGTATGATTTTAATACCAAGAAGTTCTATAAGACTGCAAATGAGAAAATGGAACCACACACTTACCATAAAATGTCAGCTGTCCCTTTGCTACATTTTTTCCTCTAGAATTTTCAGCCACACATTCATATAAGCCAGCATCTTCCTGCTGAAAATTGGGAATTTCAAGAATTCCGTTTGACTTGTGTCTTCTGGCTTTTCTTGCTATGGGTTTTCCGTCAGCTCTTCGCCAGGCAATAGTTGGTACTGGGCTGATAGCAAGATTTAAAGGGAGTGAATCAAATTACAGAAAACTGTATCTTTTATTTGAATGTATGCTAACAACCCCTTTGTTCTTGGTTCTAAACACATAAGCTCTTTAGAGGTTTCCTAAACTTCACTCATTCCTATGTTACCATTATGATTTTAACTGTATCTACATCTCTAGTATCATTTTACTTGGTGTTTTTCTTAAAATCAAATAACTTTTCTTAATTTTAAATAAAGTGATCTTACCTCTTATGCACTGTTATGCAAATGAAAACAGATTTTTATATGCTTCTTATATTTTTCTAATATTTTGTTTTCTAAATCAAACATTAAAATAAAAATGCTTAGGCACATTTGTGACAGCTTTAAGATGGCTGCAAATTCCTGTACATTTCCCCCACTGTGATGAGATGTAAGCCTTCTCCCCTTGAACCTGGTGGGTTCTCTGGCTACTTTTAGTAATAAAAGAAGGTAAAAGCGACGAAGCATCAATTTTCAGGGTTGGCATTAAGATACTTTATATTTTGTTTCTAGGAATGTTCTCCAGGAGGCACCAAGGAGAAATCTGAATACCTGAGACAGAGGCTTCCCTGTTGATGGTCTTGATGAGCTTGGTCTTTCAACACCCTCAAGACACCAACACCATGAGGGAGACTTTCCTTTACTCTCTGCACCAGCTCATCAGCCAACTCTGTATGATGCAGACCTCAAGGGGTGCTGTGCAGAGCAAAAGTCACCCAGCCAAGCTTTGCCTGCACTCTTGACCCATGGATGGTAAGATATAAGATGCTGTTGTTCTTTCAAAATCTTGTATGACAACAGCCACAGAGACAATATAATGTCACAAATGTTAGGTCCAACAATGCAAGGACCTTACTTTGAGAAATACCCAAATAATGAACAAATGATAGTACAAATAATGAGCTCTAAATTCTCAGAGACTCAATGGTTCATTTGGGGCACCCTGGTTATTCTCCTTATTGTAATTTATATATTGAGAACTTTACCAATTTATAGCAGTCCATTTGGAAGGTGGTTTGGGGAAACTTTAATTAAAATAGTGAGAAGAAGAAAGAAGCAGCCTGTGAAGTTTTTCTGTACCCTCAAGGCATCTATCATTCTTTTGCCCTGTTTGGAACACATCTTAAATTGCAAGAAGGGCATCACTGAGGCTGCAAATCAATAGTTTAGTGAGCTAACCACAGCTTTTGAGATTGTGCCTTCCTAGCAGGGCATACAATTGTTTACTTACTTATTTTTTCACAGAAACGATCAGAGAAGTAATTAGACTAAAATACTTGCTAATCTTCGCTGGGAAACCTAAGCTAGTATTTAAAAACTAAACCCATCAACTCTACTATATTTGTTTTAAAAGAATGTAAGGTCATTAGACATTTGCTCAGAATGCAGAAAGGGCTCTATCAAAAATATATTAGGGGTGCCTTTACATTCAAAGTGCTATATATTTAAAACGTGCCTTTACAAACAATGGTACTTAGATGCAGTCTTTCTGCTCTTAAGTAGGCTGTGATGGGGTGTTTCAACAGCCAGATAGGCATACCCAAACATTTCTGTGTAGGCTAGAAGAGCCGAATTTGCATCTTTTATTTTTATTCTAGTGCCATTCAAGCAGCGTGAATAGACTTTAATTCATATCCTCTTTTGAAGTGTGAACAGAGTAAATTTTGCTCTTTCTCCACAGGTGTTTCAATGTGTCACCTTGCAGAGTTTACCAAATATCTACTAAGACTATCCAGATACTAGCTTCGACCTTTTCCCCAACTGATTTCAGAACCACATACAAATACACACACATACACACAAACACATTCACTTTAAAATACAAAATACAGCCAAATTATACTGCATGCAATCTGCTTTTATTCTTTTAGCAATAAATCATGGGCATTTTCTATGTCTTACATGTTATTTTACAGTTTACTTTTAATGTCTATTCGGTGTTCAATCCTACAGCTATACTGTAATTTACTTAATGAAGCAAGTTTTCAGGACATAAAAAAATCACCATTGTCGTATTTGAGACCAAAGATCTACTGCAGTTCTTAGAACCATGATTTAAAAGCATATGGAAGCCAAATTAATTCTGTAAGTTGAAAATGAAATGAAAAAGCAGCACTTTCTACAGTTATTATAAAACATAACACAAAAATCATTCAAAAATTTTAGCATGCAGTTGTAAGGACTGGATAAGAGTTCGTGTTGTTGGCTTAGTCAGTATTTAAGCACAGGAGAAAAGATAAGGAGTTAGCAATGGGTAGCCAGATAAATTGGGCTGGGAGTAGATATTAACACATAAAATCAGCATCCATAGAAGGTCTAAATCGTCTCACTTTGGATGACAGTTTATAATATAGTTGCCAGACCATTTCTGCTGGTTACCAGCACATAAAAACCCCAAGTGATCTGCATTTCACTGTCTTTATGCTCTAGCAGATATTCTATGGAAAAGCTGACTGGCTCCTAAAGTAAACTCTTCTAAGAGTAAGCCAGACTAAATAAAAAAAATGTGAATAATTTTCAGATGCCTCTGTAAAACACAGACTCTCTTACAGGGTATCACATCTTATCCATCTCCAGCCAGAGGAGAAGGGAATCCAAAATAGAGAGAAGAGACTAGAAGTTCACAAAGACATTCATGAAAAGTCTGATGTGTCCTTTTTAAAATGGGGCCCGAACAAAAGTACATATTTTTCCAAATAGTCAGCTATACTTCAAATGAAGGCCATTGTTTTCTTGTCAGTTGGGGTTAGACAACATGCACATTACAGGTCATAGTAATAGAACAAAATACCTTTGCAGAATCGCCCAGTCTGTTCTCTTCTGTAGTGTGTCCACGGCGGCAGCCCCATCCTTACACCCTTACACCCCTTTTTCCACAGCGAGGGGGCAGAGTCAAAGATACACACCAAGTGACAAGGAGATGGGCGCTGCTTGCTTTTTGGTCACCTCAGAAACACACTGTGAAGGGTGTAAGGAAAACTACACCTGTTCAAGCTGAAGGAAAAGCTGGAGGATGAGAGAAGCCAGCACTTACTTTCCTAAAGCAAAGCACTCCAGCTTCACTGTTGCTCCTTTGGCAGTCGGGACTGTTTCCGGAAACTGGACTTCTATTTTGGGTTCATATTCACCCATCACTCCTGTGAATAAACAAAGGTGCAGACTCAGAGAGTCTTTCAAAATGCACGTGTTTATGTTAATGTAGGACACCCCTATACATCATTATGTGCACAATTAATTCCTTCATTTAAAGCAGGTCCTTTCTAACAGCCATGAAATTGTGGCTCTTCTCCCAGTTCCTGCTAGAGAAAATTTGTATCAGAGTGCTGTACCATCTGCCTTGGATTTAATTATCCATGCATACTACTTGGCTTCTCACAAATACTTTTTATGGAAGTCACATGGGGGAAGAAAGGCTGATTAAAGTCCTAGTCTCTAGGAAAATAATCTTTGTGAAAACATAATGGATAAAAAAATAAAATATTTAAGAAAATACAGTTTTAAAAATACTTGCATGATCTATGATATCTATATAAGAAATAATTTTTCTAAGTCTTTCTGTGGTCATAATTTTTATTTTCATTTCCATAGCCAATCTGAATTAATCACGAGTTAGTATATGAAAGGTAACATCAAAAGTCTCCATTGTTACTATATTCTGAGCATTAAAATATAAGAAGCACTACAGAAAATAACACTTAAGTTATACCTGCCTTTCCAATGGTTTAATTACCTTGGGAATCATATTCTTTCTTTCCCATAGACTGTACCAATATAGTCAAGGTAACATCTTAATAAGTTAAGATCATAATTTATAAATAAATAAACATTTATCAACATTCTTGACCTTATCTACCACTACTCTAATTTTTTTTAATACATTCCTTCCTATTCAGTTTCTGGTCATTTCCATGGTTTACAATTAAACTTGCCAATATAAAATTTGGAATTATCTAGTTTATTACACAGCGATAAGAATCTCCATTTCATCTCTTTTTTAGGTTTCTCATAGTGAAATAAAAAAAGAGACTAAAGGATTCAGAAGAAAAGGTTAAAAACAAGGAATAGACAGGAATGGGGCAGTAACAAGGTCAGATGATTTCACTTGTTTGCAGGCCCTTTTTACCTATTATTTCAGAGACTGAGAAGTATCAGGAGGATCTACTCAATCTGTTGGAGGAGAAAAAGTAACTATAAGTGTCAGGCACTTCGACAGTAGCTAGGTTTGTTATGGGGTATTTGATCAAAAGTGCAAATTTGAACAAAGCTTGGATTGCAGTTACTTTTTCCCTTTCCCCAGATGCAAGGGAGTACTCTCTCAGGAAGAGAGCTGAGATTATTTTATGCAGTATTGTTAATCTTGGCACTCGGGATGTACACTTTAGAAAGAGAACATCCACAGCTAGCAGCCTACCAATACTTATCCCTCAAAAGGGTAAAATCACAGTCTGAAACTGCTCTTTCCTTTTAGAAGCAAGGCTGTAAGCTCAAAGAGATCAATCAGTATGTCTTTAATCCCACAGCAAACTACCTAGTTCGTGTTCAAGGTTCAAACCCAGGCCTGACTTCTCATTTTAAACCCTTTACTATGACCTTTCACCACTGCAACAAATACTACTAAAAAACTAAACTAAAATACACTAAATGTATGCTTGGCCTGTTCACATATAAAGTCGTTCCTCCTTTCAAGGCCAGTCTCTGCCTTCTGGGTTCTCTTGCACCTAAATCTGAGTGTGCTTCTCTTTGAGCATCTGCACAAAGCTGGCCTGGTAGTAGTGCGGTGCATACTAACAACAGCATTCGCACACAGCTGCTGAACTTGCTAACACACAGCCTGTACCGTTGACTCATCATCCCATAAATATCAGTAGTATGACTTGCAGCACAGCGAACAACTTAACACCTTTTAGTGCTGTGTATGTGGCTGTATATTCCAAGCAGTGTTCATTAAGAAAAAAGGGAACTGCTGTGAGAGAAAGAGGTCGTTTGTCCTCCCAGGAAATCAAGACACTCTGCACTGCAGTGTTTCGTGTGTTGGAGGAAGATGAGACAAAAAGATTAAAATACAAGGAACAAGGATGACTTAGAAGTGATCAGGTCTCCCCCAGCCTCCCTTTTTCTATCAACATCACATCTAAGCTGTGTTTCTTTATCCAGCTATGAAAATTACACCAAGGAGGGGATCTGCAGGTGGGGGGAGGTGACAGAGGGGTAAAAGAAGGGGAAGTAAAAAGGATCAAGATGCAATATGTATGTGTACTAATACCCTTCAATGAATACATTTATTATATATTCCAAAACATACTAATAAAAAAGCTTTTTTAAAAGGAGTGAATAGATCTCATACAACCTTGATTGAAGGAGCTACAATATCACTCTTCCTGCAGACTCAGTGTCCCAGAGCCCAGAACTGTGACCTCCTCATCCTATAATCCTACCTATTAAGGTCTAGACTGGAAGATGACCATCCCAGGATATTTTTTTACCAACTTACTTCTGCCTGCCCTTGTCCTCTGTATGCCAGACTCTCTACCTCAGAGTGGTCTTTAAATGACCACAAAGTGCTAAAACCTCTCTGCCTCATTTTTGACTGTTTCCATGAAATTTTTAAAATAAATTTCTGAAGCTGTAGCTTACATACCTGAAGTTCATCCATTTTAAGTTGCACAATTTAATGATTTTTAGAAGTCAACTTAGTCATGAGTCCATCAACATCACTCAGTTTTATGGCATTCCCATCACCCTAATAAGATCCTTTTAGAGTCAATTCTCATTCCAGTTCCAGTCCTCGGGAACCTCCAATCTGCTTTCAGTCTCTACACATTTGCCTCTTCTAGACATTTCATATAAATATAATCATACAATCTGTGAGTTTTGTGTCTGGCTTCATTTGCTTGGCATGTTTTCAAGGCTTATCCGTATTGCAGGATGTGCAAGTAGTCCACTCCTATTTATTGCACAGAATATTCCACTGTGTAGATATACCACCTTTTATTTATCTATTTGCTGGTTGTATTATTTGACTGGCAATGCTGTAATAAAGTACAACAATCTAAGTGCTTTAAATTTTAAAAAATTTATTCTTTGAGTTCTGGAGGCTGGAAGTCATCAATGAAGGAGTTGATCTGGCTGTGCTCTGTCAAAAACTCAAGGAGTTTATGACTTCCTTGATTCTTCCTGTGTTCTGGTGTTGCTGTTAATCCTTTGTGTTCCTTGGTTTGTAGCCGTGCCTATGAGATTCTGCCTATGAGATTCTGTGTCATGTGAGATTCTGTCATGTGAGATTCTGTGTGTCCTCCTAAAGACACCAGTCATATTGTACGGGGCCCACCTTACTCAAGTTTGATCTAAACTCAACTAATTACATGTACATTGACTCTGCTTCCGAGTAAGGCCATTCTGAGGTACTGGAGGTTGGGGCTTCAACATACCATTGGGGGGACACCACTGAACACCAGTGGACGGGTACTTGGGCTGCTTCCACTTTGAGCCGTTACCAACAACACTTCTGTCTGGACTTTTTTTTTTCATTTTTCTCACAGTCCCCATTAATTTCACATGGGCAACCCTGTCCACTTCTTCAGTGCTCAGCCTGAATGACGCCACGTCAGAGAGGTATTTTCTGCTCACCCTATGTAAAACAGGTCCCTACCATTATTCTCTACTGACATCTTGCTTCTTTCATGTTACTTATCACAATCCATAATTATCTTATTTGCTCATGTGTTTAGTATCTCTTTTCTATTTAGATGACAAAATATAAAACATTAAGTAATGTTTCTTTTCTGTGTTTGCATTATCTTCACTTCTGTTGCAGTCTCTTCACACAATAGATGTGCAGTAAATAAGCACTGGCATGAAACATTTTGCAAACTTCAGGACATCCCTCAAACTGCATTTCTGATTTCTGTCATCTTTGTAGCTATTTATATTCACTACATCTCCTCTGGTGTACTTTTTACCTTCCTGTGTTATGGAAACCTTTATGATTATTTTTTTTTGTATCTTTCATAAATCCTAGTTCAATAGCAAGTGTGCTAGGTAGGAACGTATAGCAGGTGAGAAAGCATGTGCAAATGGATGCTTTTATACTGTGATCTGTAATAGTCATTAAGTTAAGCATGAATTTCTTTCTAGGTATGGAAGTCACTTATTAGGTATTGGGTTTTTTTGGGACAAAAAAGATAGTAAAAGATAATCTTTTACTAAAATAAATGGTACAGGAATGGTACCATTCCTGGTCATATGGAACAATTTCTTCACTTGATCTTAGCCAAAAGGCTGAGAAGTGATAACTTGGAATAACTCCTTCGTTGATACAGTGGTCAAAATTTATGGCTATAGGAATGCAAGCAAGAGTTATCAGTAATAAAACAGATTGATCTGTGTACACGGCAGGAGTTATGGCACATAAAGATATGAATCAGAAAAGGAAAAGCCTTGTTTTTACTGCCATTTAAAGAATTTTCATTGTATATGGGATCATAAAAATGAAGGAAGTAATTTTCTTCAATTATATAATAAACAAGTTTTTGAAATACCTGCAAACTATCCTATTTGATTAAGTTACATTGCTATAAGCTATATATTTATTTGATTATTTCTTTCATTTTAACCATTTTGGCCTTTACTTTCTGTATTGAATTTAAAAGCTGTTGGCATTTTTTTTAAAGGTACCTTAAAACAAGAGTCCATTTTTAAAGTCATTTCTGTGACCACCTGTAAACTTTTGAACTTAATTAGTATACAGATGCTGTAGTGATTTATAGGCTTATTAGGCTACAAGAGTAAGGCTATTCATAGATTTGCTCTAAGATCTCTTTTCCATCTTTAAAGTGTTCAAATGGTAGGAGAATGTAAAGGCTTAACCATATCTATGAACCAAGATAAAGAAGTAAGCAGTACATATAACATATGTTGGTTCAACGAGGAATTATAATCTCAGCCATACTCCTTTTTTAGCATTGACTATATGATTTGCTCACAGGAACAATTCTTGCATTCAATTTGAAATTATAGCTATAATTTTATTATTTTTTTATTTTTTGTTTTTGAGACAGGGTCTCACTATGCAGTTCAAGCTGGCCTTAACTTCACTTTGCAGCCTAGGCTGGTCTCGAACTCACAATGATCCTCCTGC